GATACACAAGTATAGATATGCAGTTCCACATTTTCTACTACTTAATTATATTTTCTATCGTAAGAAGAGATAAAGTTTTGCAATATTTATTTTATATTTAGCATTCAAAAGGAAGGAAAAATTTCCACTATGTTTTAATTGCATATCCATGTAATTCGTGACAGTGTGATTCATACGTACATATTATAGAATGTTTGAATTAAATGAACAATTATAAAATCTTATCGCTTATTAAAATTAAACATGATAATAACCATGACTGATGAAAATGAACAAAAAACATTAATTATGTCCTTACGATCATATTAGTAACGTGATCAATTTCTTGCTATTATTGCTTATATCAGGTTAACTTTTTTTATAATTTACTTTTGTTTAGTCATTCGAACAAAAGGTAAAAATATTTTTCTTTATTCATGGCGATTTTATCTTTTCGCATATAACACGATGAAATATGTTTACTAATCCTGCATATTTATTCAACTTGCAAATAATTTGTTTTATAGCATATTATTTTGAACAATTTTGTTTAAAAACTTGAACGCATGCGTAATCTATAAATATAAAGCGCAAAATATCAAAATATATATATATATATAAATCATGATTTGGATAATTAAATCTGTACGTGCTAATGCATCGATATAGATCATTTTTATGTATAAAAAAATGATTATTTAATAAAATTATTTCGCGGAGAAAACTATTCTCTGGATCAATGAGCTTTAATTTCTTTATAGATATCAAGTGAATTCTTTAAATATGTTTTCGTTTATGGATATTACGTGAATTTTTTAAATACGTTCTTGTATCTCCATAAAAAAAATATTTAGCTTTTTTATAATTTTATCAGTAAATTGTGCAGAAACTTGTCTATCTATCAATTTAAGGCATCTTATGTCTTCAAAAATATATTGGACATAAGAGTATGTATCAGTTAAAAATCCTTTCAAAAAAAAACTTTCCTTATTTATTAGCATTAACTATTCAGAAAATTACTTGTAGGAATGTAATGTATAGACAAGTAATATAAGTATTCATATAATGAATATTTATATCAGCTGTCTTTAATTAATAAAAAAAAGAAATCTATTTTTGATTTGTTATACAATATATTGCTGATACCGAATGTTTTTTTACTTCCTTTACGGGGAAGGATAAAATAAAATTTCCATGTCTACTCGTCTGACGCACAGTTTATTAGGAAACTACTTATCTCCTTCGGGACAAATTTTTAATCAAATAAGTGCCACTTGTGCATGAAGAATGCACGCACATATGGGTATATATATTATATACATATGCATGTATATACATATGTGTGTGTGTGTGCGTGTGTGTGTGTACCCATATGAAAAATAAAAAAAAACGATTGATTGTGTTGTAAATATTATGCCTCACGCAATGTCTAAATATGTAAAAAATTTTTCGATCTTTAGAAATTGGCATTACATTAAAGTTATTGTAAGTTAAGTCGTCAGAATTTTGGTTTGTCTAATAAAAGTTACTAATATAGTAGAAAATGCGGAACATCCTTTCTCATTTCTTTTTCACACATTATACCTGTCCGATATTATTGTCTGTAGCAAACATGCGTTAATAGATTATAATAAATGAAGATTCACAATTATATTATATTAAATTGACATACAACATGTCTGATAACAGCGCTATAAAATAGTGGCATTTTTAAAAGAATTTAAAGATTATTAAGTCGAATTCAAAATTATGTATACTGAAACTCTACAAGAATATGTTGGAAAAAATGTTTTTCTCTGATCAATTTTCATTACAATCTTTATATTATGTATCTCATGTTATGTTCAAATTTTCATCAAAAGAAAGTGATGATTCAATATATTATAACAATGTTATAAGATATTTTAGTATTTATAGTACTTTTGTAAGTGAAAATTTAAACAAAGTAATGTTTATTAATCAGAACATGCTTTTCTATCGATTTTTTTGAGGATGCAATATAACATATTTAACGATAAAAAGGGCATCTAATCGAATTACAGATACGCGATAAAACATGAAATTAATCGACTGTTATATGCAATAGCGCAATAGTAATCTATAATATTATATGTATAGAAAAAAAACTATCGATCATTTATAAAGATAAATTTTATCACCGAGGTAATATGACTGGGTGTATAAAAATCTGTACATTATTTAAAATCGTAGAAAAATAATTAACCGAGTGTTCAAATCTGTCTTATTATTAGATTTGTATAATTAATGAAGGATAGCATATCCTGTAATATATATAAACATATGTAAATATATATATGCGTTGCTGATCGTATTTTTAAGAATAATAATTTCTCCGCGTTTAAAGTGCTTCACCGTTTAGCATATATATATATATAATACACACACACACACAGGGTGTATCTGAAATAACGCCTATTAATTATACAGTGTTATTCTTAATAAAAAAACTAAGTCGAAAAGTCTTCTACCATTTTTGCAATAGTTAACGAGATATTAATTTCTAAAGATTGTCGAATAAATGGATAAAATCGATATATAAGACAATTTTAAGATATCGTTCAGTGTTCTTTGTAAAATATTTTGAAGATGTTTCTTAAAGAACTCTTACAGATAACTTAAAGTCGACTTATACGACGATTTTTAGACATTTTACTTATTGGATAACTAAAAAAAATATTATGAAAATTGCAAAATGATAGAGAACTTTTCAATTCAGTTTTTTATTAGAAACAGCATTGTATGATTAATGGACGTTATTTCAAACTCTGTGTATACACACACACATACACACACACACACACATACATACATACACACACACACACACACACCACACCTCTCTAAGTTTTGGATTAGTCACCGACGTCATATATCAGATTGTCATGTCGACAACAAGAAATTGCATTCATTATTTTTACATATTTTTTGTGACATATATCGAAATAGAGTCGAAGAGTTTTTTATACGTCATTATTCTATTTAAAAAAACTTTATAAGATGCACTTTAAACTTGTTTTTTTTTTAAATTATATTATGTTGAAATTTAAAGCTGCCTTTATTTTATTTCTTGTTTGTTTTCCATAAAGAATATTTTTTCTTTTGATTTTCTATGGTTACTTGTTTATTGCAATGACCATTAAATTTTTTTTAACGAATCAGGAAATTATAGAAAATCTTTAATGTAATAATCAAAGGTCTGCATTATTACAAATACGGCATTATATTATCGTTTTGTTGTCTGATAATGTAATATCCTAACGGTAACTGGTTTGAAACTTAGTCGATGAGGTTGCTAATTTAAAATCATTGTCTCGCGAAAAAATATTACCAATATCGACGTAGTAATTGCATAATTGTGCAAAATTACGGAATGTACATTTTATGCTTGTGAACGCTAAACATGCAGCAGATGCGTGCGGACATGGATGTATGTGTGTGTTTTATGCTCATATTTTTGCAGCGGTCAAATTAATGAAACTTTGGAAAATAATGTTTATATCTGTAGAATTTTTTATTGTTTCTTCTTGTAGATAAAATATATTAAAATCCCTTGAATATCCCGTAAAAGTACGAATTATCGTAAATTTACGTGCAATAGATAATAAATAAAGCATAGTTTAGATTAGCATAGTTAGAGATCGTACAAATTATTATCCTTTTTTTTTTAATTATAATTCAAGACAAGTGACTTTTTTATCGGTTTTTCTCGTATGTAATAATATTAACGTTGTATACACACTAGTTGCGTATTAATTGTTTTGTAAGACTTGTTTTTTATTATATACAATAAAATATTGCTTATTATCATATTTGCGAATGTTTCATCTTATACAGGTGTTACCAAATCTGCGATAAAATATATCACGACAAAAAATTCTGTAAAATTATTTAAAAAATTTACCTAACGAAAACGGCATTTTATTATACGTTCTTCGAGTTAAATTCATTTAAAGAAATGTGTATATATACACCATATATATTAGTATTCAATTTTATATTTTTTTAATATTTAATTCTTCATTATTTATCTGAAACAAAATTTTGTTTTAAATTATTAATTTTATTAAAGTCTAATTTAAATGAAGCAAAGAATAAAGTTTATCGAAAATTTGCCTATTATTTTGAAGTAGAATCCATGAATCGAGTTTTTCTCGATTGTATCTAGAAGCAGGGAATACAACAACTTGAGACAACTATGTGTCGAGATTACCTTTATTAACAAATATTTTAACTTATTTACAAAAATATGCCAGCAAAACTCAACAAGTACCTGTTGCTGCAAACGCCTCCTGCCATCAGTTGTAAGCCGGCGTTTTTGAAACTCGATCAGGTTTTCACACGTCTATTTTTTTATCTGGTTTAATTGTAAACTTTTCCGTTCCTTAGAATTGTATCAATTATCATTATGCTATATCTATTGTCACGATATCAAAAAATGTAGATTTATTGCAATTAGAAAAATAAACTTGCAGTTTTTCAGGCTATTGCCACGGATTTTTACGCATTTGAATTGCGTTGAACGTTCACGTAATATATAGTATCTCCCGTTCCTATTGATTGCAAATGCTCTTCTCGAAATCTAAGATCTAAGAATCTCTTTAATTAGTAATTTTAAAGTTTCATAATTTCATGATTTCATAATTTTCGAGTTTAAATATCTATTCAAAACAATTTTATATATGTGTCTGTCATCGTATATGTTATTATTACATATTTTCGTTATATTTTATGTAACTTTTTTTTTAAATAATTACATACAGAATCTCTGCAGATAATTACAATCTTGATACCAGACATATAAATTACATAACTCCGTTAATATCGGAACAAGAAAGTAAACGCGTGCGTAGATTAACGTATAAGACTTACTAAGATACTACTTCCTTTTCCAAACAATACAATATCTAAGAGCATTATAAAAATGTCTGGAAATAAAAGTCCGAATTCAATTCATGGAAGGAACGTAAATCGGCATTCGGCTAATGACCGCCGCGCAAAGAACACGATCGAGAGCGGATCGAAGTACCAGAGATGCGAGACGCGAGCTTGACAGGTGGATTGTACTACTGTATAGGAAACCAGCGGTTTTCTCAGTGGTTAGTAATGCCTTCCCCGGTGTTAACGCAGTTGGAGAGTATATCGTCTACTATTCCCGAACGATCCTGTGTGTCGTCGCGAGCCACGCAGGCGTGCTCAAGACAATCAATCTTCCAATCGTCTTCCAATCCCTTCCGACGTCCCGTCGAGGATACGGCGTGCCTTCGTCGGAGGACACGAGGTCGGTCGCCGATCTCTCAGATCGCGAGACGTGCAATCACGATTAGAACGACCCACCCGAAATTGCCGAGGCGCGTTCCGCAGTTGATCGTTTCGATCCGGTCGCGTTCTCGATGTTCATGCTGAAAGTCTACGCTGGACATCGTGCGACCGACGTCCAGAGGCGATCTCTTCGACCTCTCTACCAGCTTCAACCTCGTGCTCGTCTTCGGTAGCTGTTGACGCGGCGATAGATCGACGGCCGCTAGACGGTTCTTCTTCCCATACGAGAGAGGAATCGAGTCGTTTGCACGCATCTCCCCGGGAATCAGCGGCGGCAGCTCACCCTGGAACTTACCGAACTGCGGTGTTCTACTAAGAATATCCGAGGTCAATTGGCCCTTGGCGTGATGCTCGGAATCGGAAATGGACCTGGCCAGACCGGTGGAGTCACTCAGCTTCTTACCATCGTAGGTGATTAGGACATCAGAGGAGGAAGGTGACGGTAATTCCTCCGGCCTAGTCCTCCCGATTGGCGGCAGATAGTAGGTATCTAGTCTGAGATCGGCCGCCATCTCCATGTCGTCGAGATCATCGAAACGTGGCGGGGAACGCGTGGAAGATGTCTTCTTCTTCCGCTTCCTGCCGCCGTCGATCGTGGACGATGTCACGGGCAGCGACGGTACGAAAACGGGCGAGAACTCATCGATTGTACGATAATCCCCGTTTTTTCTGAGCGGCCCGTCCTGCCACATTCTCTTCTGTGTTACATCTGGCGCTTTGTCAAAGACATTTCTGATGATCGGTTTAAAGCCGCTCTCGATGACGATGGAATCGGGGTTGAAGCCGGTGTTGCGCGCGGGTTTCAAAAGCTTCCAAGAGGGACCCAAGTGATTCTCAGTGATGTCCGAATCCGATCCTAACTTTGCCTCGAATTTCGTACGTTGCTTCGTGTCAATCTTTGCCGTGAGTTTCCCGGATAGCGACGCCTTGTCGGCCATCGTCCTCGGCGTCGTCTTCAGCGTTGTTATTGCGACAGGTGGTCGGTAAACGGATTTCTTGCGTTCGATGAGGATCGGTCGCGGCGAGGATGATGAACCGAAGGAGAACGGAAATGGCAACGATAACGCGCCCGTGGTTATCATATTGGCGGCCTGCTGTAATGTCTGCAACATTGGACGGCGCGTTAATGTCACCGGCCGGCGGATAATCATCAGTTGGGTCCTCGGTGGTTCGAGCTGATGATAATAACGAGAAGGAGGCGAAGGAAGCTGATGACGGACGTAGTGATGATAATTGCTCGCGTAATGATGCGGCGCTCGGGAGAACGGTAGCTGGGTGTTGCTGATGGCCGCTGTTACGTAGGGCAACCTTGTCCCATGACTCAGTGATGGTCGTTGGTGATCTGCAACGAGGTTAGACAATTCCTGGTTAGTGGCGGTATGCTGAATCTCCCGCGCGAGCTCTGTGACATGAGTTCCAGCGTGAAGAGATGATGGCGATTCATGAACGATCATGGCCGATCGGTGTTGCTGCGACTTCTGCTGCTTCTGCTGCGGTAGGATCTCCTCGTCAACGCGTTGTGCGTCCCTTGGACGTATCTCGTACGAGATTTCGGACGATGGTGATGATTGCAAGCGATCGTAATTGTTATTGGCGTTCGTTAGTAGCTGAGGATGCGAGACGCTTAACTTGCTGTTAGTCGTTGAATGATGATGAGGGTAACGGTGGCCGTATTCGCGATGAGAATGATGGGCATGCTGTTGATGAAGGAACTCCGCCGTTGGCGTTACCTTGCTCGGCACGGAAATACTAGCGCCGTACTCCAGGTCCTGATGACCCTGGTCCGGTTCCGCGAACACCTCGCGCTTCTCACTGGCCGCCGGTGACGCCTCGCTGGCATCGCAGTTGTCGAGGACATTGATCTTCCAGCCTAGGTAACGATGTGTGAAGCACTAGAAACAAAAAGCATGCAGAATCTCGAGCGTGCAAAATCAAAGATCTATTTACAAGATATGTATAAGTATAGGTACAACCGAGCGAATATCAATATATAGACTATGTAGAGGTTCACAATTAGTTGCAGAGTAACTATCTAGTAAACTTCGGTTTACTTTCTGCGAAATCAGAAACCATGACTACGTTTATATGGCTCGATTTACGCCGAAATTATAATATCAATGTTGTAAAACTGGCCAATCATAGCTATTCTTCTGAAGAATAGAATGACTGTGATTGGCCAGTTTTCTAACATCGATGTTATAAACTTCGACGTAAATCGAGTCATGTAAACGTCTATATTTACTGTCTAAATTCTTTGGAATGAAATTTTATTTTAAAGAGTGAAAATTGAAGCAGTCTTTCTTTAAAAAAAAAATGGCTCAATTTTCAATCTTTAACAGAGAGAGAGATTTCTGAGATTTCATTCTTCAGAGTGACCCTGGTGAAAATTTGTCTCATAATTTTTGTACGAATTGGAACATTTTTCAGAAATACTCAGAAATATTCGGAAAGTTTACATCTTTTCTCAGAATTCTTCATACAAGTGAATTCTGAAATTTCTCATCCCATAATTTTTAAAAAATATTCCATAACATTTCATCAGAATTTTTACAAAAAATCTTAGAAATTTTACGATATTTCATAATTAACATATATGGAAAATTCTGAGAAAAGATGTAGATTTTCTGAGAAGTGTTCCAATTCGTATAAAAAATGTGAGAAAGTTATAAAATTATATAGAAATTCTGAAAAATTATATGAAAAATTTAAAAAAAAAAAATTTTCATCAGGGGGAATTTTAAAAGTTTTACAGAGTAAGTTCGATCGTATCCCGACAGTGTCAAGGACGCTCTGGCTATTTTTCTCGTGTTGTCACTTACACGTTCAGATATGTACCACGTATGAAACACAGATTACCTGATAATACACCGTGTCGGGGGTATTCTCATCGGGTGTCCACTCCACGATGCCCGGCTCGCCGTGATCGCATTCGAGAGTCAGGGTACGCTGATAAGCACCGAAGGACGCGAACTCATCCGCGGGCGGTTGGTTCTGATCCGGCACCCAGTTGCAGAGGCGACCTACGCCGGTGGGGATGATCTTGCCGCGTTGTCGACGTACACCCGCGAATATCTTAACTTTCTGTCAAGATCAGAGAGTGAACAGCCATGTACCATTCGCGTGTCATCAATATTCTATAATATTTTATACGTTCTCGCGCATTCTTCGTCAAGTACACTGATTACGTCCATTTTTATTAATGTAGATTAACTTTAATCTTGGTTCACAATTTATTCTTTGTCTTTTTCTAAGTGTTAGATCTAGAAAAAGATGAAGAAATAAATTGGACTGAGATTAAAATTAATCTACATTATTGATGGAACGGGTATTAGATAATTAGATAATGATAGGGAGATTCGATTGAAGTTATGCGGCAACGTGTACCTCCTTTCATTTGCTTTTGTGGAAATAATAAATATAGCGAATCTACATTTTGGCAGAATTGATATTCTTATTTTCAAAAATATTTTCCATGTGCAAGACAATTTACCGCTTTCTCCTCAGCTGTTTTGTGATAATACCCGCCTATCGGGTCATCTGTGATGTAGAATGGATGATAACGCGCCGGAGCGTCGGGATCTGAACCGCCTTCCACGACAAAAGTGTATCTCCTGCCCCGCACCACATTAATCACAGGTATCAGTAATCCATTGATATACCAAGAGATCCCCCAACCAACGTGACCTGGAGAAAGTGAAGCGGAGACCGGTTCGGAGTATAGATGCGATGCGGCTTTCTTGTGTGATTTGTGCAAGGACTTTCTCGCGATCATTTCGCAGATTGAGTGCCATGCGAATTTTGATTAGCTTCGCGAAAGTTTAAATGTGCCCTAAATCTCCAAACCACTGTGATAAAGATCGCAAAAAGAAATCAAATCCGTATGTACTTTTACTTTCTGTATGAAAAATAAAATACGCTAATAAAACTTAAAGTGTTTATAAAAGCGGTGTCGATTGAAATTGTTTTGTAAAATTATAAATTATAATTATAAATTATTTCAAGAATAGATTTTCTTGTTGGTGATAGTTCAATGCAGTGATACACATGCAATTTTGCATATCGTGTTACGCGCGAAATAAAGTTCCTGGATTCGAATTAAGAGACGATACCCCAATGTTACATTAATCGCTACGATTTATTACCAGTAATAGCCGGGTAGCCGTGTTTTCCTCCGGTGGGTCCCATTTGTGCGTAGAAAATACCATCTTCCGGCTCATAACATTGAATCGGTGGTATCTCCCAAGCGTCATTCGTAGAAGCCGGTGCAGGAGTTGCCACTACACGTTGTGGCCTTCTCGTGGCGAGCTATTTCAATGCATTTTCCAAAAAATAGTACGACATGCCAAAATATAAATAATATTGTTTTGTTATGCACTAATGTGCAAATGATTCTACCCTCAATTAAATTTTAACTTTAACTGCGACTTTAACGTATGACGATTTACATGTTACTCATGCCTAAATTCTAAGCAGAATCGTAAGGCTCATAACATATTCCTGTAAAACTTGTAAGAATTTTTAAGTGCTTATATTTATGAATAATCGTACGTCTTACGATACATACGCATAAAATTAGAATATTAGTCATAAGTTCTTACAAAAGTTTTATGAGAACATGTTACGAATCTTATGATTCTGCTTAGAATCGACCCAAATGAGTTTAACTTATCGTGTTATTCTACGGTAGAATTTTCATTATCATACGAATATAATGATAAAATATTGTGTGATATTATTAAATGAGATATATTTCTATAAAAAAGTAACGTCAAATCCTTTTTACTTTAATTATCATCTAATTACTTATGGTATTCAAAATTTATTGTTTAAGATAAACATACCAATAGCCGGACATTTAAGCGTATAGATTATCATAAATAATGCAATTTATAATATCAGAAAGGTTTTTATAAATATTTATATTCATTTAAAAACTCAAGACTCCCTTAAACAAGGAAAAATTATTTGAACCCACTTATAATAATTATTAATTAAAATATTTAAATAAGTAATAGAATGCAATGTACCGGTGAGACAATTACTTTCCAGTTAGAAAATTAGATCACAATTAGAAAATTAGTATGCTGATGGGAAAATAGATATTTAATAACAAAAGACAATTAATTTAAATTGATCTTTAAGGTAAAAAGCATTTGAGATTAATATTAATTTAAATAAATAAAGTTTTGTGTAACTCTCCGGGTGACATAGGTACTGTCCAGTCCCAATGAATAATGGTCTCAAATACGCTTTTTGTAATATTAATAAAATGTAATATTACAATTTAATTGTAATTTTTTAATGTAATTAAATTATAATACAGTAATAAAAAAGCATTTGATTAATAATAATAAATTTTGTGTCCGGACATAGATGCACTAGATACGTTTATCTTAGCAAAGCAATTTTAAAAAATTTCGACAGTACTAAACATTCACTAAAGTGTCATTGAAAGTGAAGTACCGGTGACGAATAATTATTTTAGTTTCAACGTGTTAATTATGCTTGATTGCGCTTTAATGCTTACTTGATTGTTGCTTGCTGTCTCGTTAGCATCGCCATAAGGAAGCTCCTGATCCGGCATGGGACAATTCCATGCGGGTGGTCTGGCGAATTCGATGAACCGATCGGTCTTCAGATAGTGGCTGTGGAAACTGACTTCCTGCCGATCGTTTAGCGGCCCGATGGCCCAGATTATTGCCTGCGATCCGTTCGTCAGTATCGGTAGATCCAACTCGTCACTGGCCTTCAGCGGTCTCTGATACGTGACAATGCTGTAGCCATTCACCATCGCCGCGTTCAACAACCGCACCGAGTCCGTGTTCTCCTGCGGAAGAATGAGTCACTTTGCTATGGGAGACAACTCGTGGAAAGTATATCTTAATAGTACATTTCAAGGAGAATCAAATTATTTCCGGATAATTGTGGCGTCTTATAAGTGGTTTCTCATAAGTCAAAGTTTTATGCCTGCATCAGACTAGAGATTGAGATTGAAATTGACTAATCTAGAGAAAGAAAATCAATATCAAGTTTAGTATATCAAATTTTGCTTCGATTAATCCAGTTCAACCTCAATCTCTTTGATACGAATATTATAAGCGTATTTGATCTTTTATTTATAATCCATGGAATATACCAGAAGAAAAAATCAAAATGACTTTTATTTTGGCATCATAAAAATCAAAATGATGATCTTTTTGTTACAAAATTTAACGTTAGGAATCAAAATAAAGCCGTTTTGATATTTAGTTCGTTGACTTTTGCGTGTTCCTTGAAAATACCTGTATGCGTCTGTCTGGGCAGCTACCACGACGTCCGGAGCACTGAGACTTCGCGTTCAAGGAGTAATCGATGGCATATCCCTGCAGGGTCTGCTTGTCGACCCAGGCCACGGTGACATCCCCAGGAACCATCATGCTTTTCTCCGTGTCGGCGGACAATCCGAAGGACATGTACTGTCCGTCATCTGTCGTAACAATTCGAGAACTTTAGAGATTCACGTTAGAGACACATTAGAGACACGTTAGACGTCTTTTCTCGGTTCCTTTTGTACTTTTTAAACATCTCTTTGCCCGTCGAAGCCACGGCTCTTTCATGGCTGTCTATATTTACCTAACTTCGCGACCAGTTGGATGACAATGCTATCTCCGGCCACGGCCCATCGCACCTCGAAAGCTAAGCTGTCCTCGAGAACCTCGCAGTTAAGTTTCGACTGAAATCACATCGTCCAATCTTCATTCGCTAATGCGCATTCAAGCGGAACTAAATTTATCGATAATTTACCCGATATTGCAGACTACTTTTTTTCTGAAGTTGTTCTCGTAAAGTTAATCGGTACTTTAATGAATACTGTACATTCTCTCTCTCTCTCTCTCTCTCTCTCTCTCTCTCTCTTATTTTATGCATTAATTTATTTACGCTCCGTTTAACTTTCACGCAAGAACAACTCTTTAGAGCAACAAGTAATTAAAGATGTGGAATAATGTTAATTAATAGACGCAGTTATTATTTGTTGAAATCATGCTTGGGGATATAAGCAAAGCTCAGAATTGTAAAAAATATTTTTATTTGATGTATAATACATACACGTGTATATAGAAAATGAGTACAAAAATATCAAAAATATAGTACACACATGCGCGCGTGAACCGTATATGTGTGTATATGTATGTATATATACATATATATTATACGTGTTATGTTGTATATCACCCGCGTAGGTATATACATACGTGAAAAAATTCGAGGCTCTCCAGAGAGTACGTTTTTATAAAAGAAATTTTTATACATATAAGATATTAATTAAAGCAAAAATGGACATCTAAGAAATTCCTCATTCTTCTACATTATAGTTATTCAAATTTTGATGTACATTTACGAAAGATATGTACGAGAAACTGCTGTAATAATAATTTTCACCACGATTTGAAGGGAAAAATAAAAGTACGTATAATAATAGCTTGAGATAAAATGAATTTTTTAATTTAATCGCATTACGCGCAAAATATAGTTTTTACGTAGCAATAAAGCTGCATTTGCGCATAATGCGATTGAGTAATCGATGAATTTAAAAAAAAACCCGCCTATTATACAAAGCAAAGTGGTGTAGTAATTGTACTCAGTAAAATGATATATAAATATATCACTCTTTAAAACAACATGATAAAAAACTTCGAGATGAGTGCCGGAAAATTCGTAGTTTTCCAAGAAAATTTTCGGAATTTTGTCTTAACAAAAAGGCGCGCGAGAGAGGAACGAGGAACATCTTTTTGCACAGAACAAAAGACCGGGGCGTAAGAGATCGGGCATGTCTGATCGATAGGTTCTCTCTAAATTCTTTGGAGTGGAATCTCATTCTAAATAGTAAAAATTGAGCTAGTCGCGAAAAAGAGTGGTACAATTTTCTCACTCTGTAAAGAGAGAATTTTCACTCTTCGGAATGAGATTCACTCTAAATGTTTTAGAGAACGTGTCGCGCGATTAGTAACGCACGAACGAGTCGATTCTCCTGTCGCCCTGGAAATGCAAGAGCCTCGCGTACGAGTTTTGTTGCGGTTCGGCTAGGCGGATGCGCGATCGCGGCGACGGTTGAGGATGATACTGGGACGATGTCGGCGACGCTACGTCGGCCGTGCGATAAAATTGTTCCTGATAGCCCGCGACATCAGCGACGGATGCGTAGGCGGGGGACTGCGCCTGACGAAGGTCCTCCGCCTGCGTGGGTATCAGAGGATCCACGGCTTGAACTACTTGGACCTGATCGTCCCGACGGAGGAGCGGCCGATAGGTCGTCGGTCGTTGATGCTGTTGCGAGAGCGAGCTCGCGAACGAAGGGAAGATAGCGAGAGGGGAAGGCGATGAAGAAGCGAAAGAGGAAATCTCGTATGCACTTGTTAACGCTTCCGACTGTCCCTGCCCTCCGCGATGCACGTTCTGCAACACAAGGACAGAGACAGGGTTTTTTTATCCATGAGCAGAGATTTGCTGAGGTTGGAGATTTATACAGCTCGCGCTTAGCGAGCTTGATATGAAAGGCTTTAACAAATCAGGAAAATCGCGAGAGAGGAAGCTACCTTGAAATATTTGCCATTTGGCTCGCAAGTCAGAGTCACGTTTTCTCGAGTGAAACTGTTCGCGTGTCCACCTTATTTTCTTTAAATTAATTTCCAAACACATCGTGTTCACATAAATATAAACATAAACATTTAAGTGTCAAACGATAAGGTGAGAAGACCCAAACTTGATACATACTTGTTTTTTAAACATAAGATTAAAAATAGGAGTAATACCGAATGTCCTTAGCGAGCGAAGTTGATAGCGTTCTCACACTGTCAGTTTGATCAGAGTTATTCGCAGTCAAGTAGTAGTCGGAAGTAAAAAAAAAAGAAATCAATAATAATGCCATCGATTTTGGATCGCTATGTAATCATTATGTAGATTCTAAGTAAAGTGAAGCGTCACAGTGCATGAGCTACGTGTTAATTAATCATAATACTTTTTTTTATTACTGCAAAAGTTAATATTAAAGACAAAGTTTATTATTGTCTATTGATAAAGGCCGAAACATTCCAATACTTTTATTAAAATTAAATATATACTGAAAAAAATTCACGGAATTTAAATAAATATTTATTTAAATAGTACCGATGGAATCATTTATTTACAGTAAATAAATATTTGTTCAATTTAAACAAATTAAACTTAAATCTAGGTATCATTTGTTAAATCGAATAAATATTTATTTTCTATAAGCACAAATGATCCCATCGAAATAAATATTTATTCAAATTTCGCAAATTTTTTTTCAGTGTAAGGAAAATAATATTAGGTGTTGGAATTAATTCGTAGCGTTTTACAAGTGATGGGAAGTACTTTCATTAATGTATTTTTTAATGCTCATGTGAAATAAATAACATTCTTTCATTAAAAACGCTACGAATTAATTCCAACACCTAATACATACACAATTTTTGCATTAACTACCTACTTTGTCTTTAATGTTAATTTTTGAATTTTTTCTCTTTGTTGTTAATTCTCTACTGTCCCTATTATTCCATTCTCCCTTCTATACTATAATCAACTATAGTAACTATAAGAAGTACATTTGACACATACCTGTGGCGAAACTCCCAGCATTTTGAGGGATGGTGGTATGTTCAAACTATGTGGGATCTGAACGTGGCCAAAGTCCACAGCAAAGGCTTCACACCATACCCCAAAGTGACCAAGCTGGTGAACTGTCAGATCAGCTGGTAATGTCAGCACGATTGTCTTGCGATCGTAACGACGCAACGGTTGCTCCTTTCCATTCTCATCGGGCACCCGAATACCCTGCGATGAAGGAGTCGAACCGGCGCCTACCCAGAACTTGGCATCTGCAAAATAATTTTATATTCGTCACTTGTTGATCTTCAATGGAAGTCTTAAACCCTGGACACAATGGATAAAATATTACTCTCTGGAACTTTTAGAGTGAATCTCACTTTAAAAAATGAAATTTCACTCTTAAAGACTGAAAATTGAACTCTTTTTCAAGACTAAATCTATTTTCAGTCTCTAGAGTGAGATTTCACTTCAAAGAATTTAGAGAATAGAAATAGGAGTAAATATTAAATGTTACAGAATAAAAAAATGTAAAGATCAAACAATCCATGCGTTACGTTTAATTTCTTCTGAATTTTTTTATTTCTTTAATTTTTAATATTTACTTATCCATATATTCTCCTAATATTTTTTCCATGCGGAACCTTACGTAACGCGAATCCGTGATATTTATGAGTTTTTTTTTAAACAGGTTCGCGAAAAGCTAAAGAGATAAATTTGTATCGTGAGGATCCAACAAACTATACAAAAAGAAGCGTATAATGAATTCCCGATAAAATTTTGCATAAAACATCAACCATTACACAAATGTTGCGACTTATAACTTATCATTAATGTCAAGGCCTAAAATGATATGTTATTAATGAAAGAAAGAGAGACTTGCCAGGTGCTTCCCCGTCGTAACTGAATCTGGGTATAAGAAGAGTCTGTGCGTCTACGATAACAATTGGCTCCGAACTGACACCGTGTATGCCGCTCAATGCCTTCAGCTTCTGTGGTTTCGGATAATCGAAGCCTCGCGGAATCCTGACGTCGCCAAAGTTCACCTAAACGAAAACGATTCCTCCGCTCATCACAAAATACATTAATTCTCTTTTCCAAGGGCTTACGTGACCATGATTCGAGGAAAAATTTGAGAATATAAGACATCCTCTGGATGTTTTTTTATTATGTCTTGGAGAGCTACGTGGAAAAGGGAAAGTTGCGATTCTTTCAATGACAAAATAAAATGTAATGCATCTAAGAGATAAAAAAATCCGAGTTAAAAAATAAGATCCTATTAAAAGTTTCTGTAATCTAATCCCGGACGCGTACGGCAAAATCCGCGGTGACCGCGTGTAGTGTTTCATCAAGTTACGCATGCCGTTTCCCATTCACTTGACACACGGATTCAGGCGGCCGTTAAGTCCGCACGAGTGTGAAAGTTGTAGTTCGAGAAAATGATACCGGTTTCCTGTGGACGAGCAAGTACGTATAGCCGATATCGCGCGATCCAAGGTCACGATCGTACATCCGTTACTTACCGAGAATTCGTCGCACCAGACCGAAAACCATTTAATGTTATTCAAGGTCTTGCCGTCTGGTAAGGTCAGCGTGATGTCCTTCTTACGATACCGTTTAAGGAGGTTCGTGCTGTTGGGCGAAAGGAAAAATTAATGTGTCGATAATCGAGGAAGAAACAATCGCTTAAAAATCGACGAAGGTTTCATTCGACAATTATAAGCTGTTGCAATCATAATTTGCTAAATTACGTTTAATTGACAGAAATTATCGGAAATTGAGAGAGAGAGAAAGAACGATACTATCAGCTTTACTTACGTTCCGCGTTCGTCTCGTACTCGGAATCCGTTGTTGCCCGGACCTTTGCTGTTTCCAGCGTAAAAGAAGGCAGCTAAAAAGAACGACACTCTTATCATTGATCTTATCGATCAAAATTTTTTAACAATACCGATAGAGAAAATTTATACAACAAATTTCTGCCGTCAATGACGACGAACGGTTTCGTTTAAGCGTTAAGATATCAAATACATATAACACGGTTTCAAACTGTGAAGCTCTAATAAACATCTAGATATATCCCATTAATGGAGAACGGAGTATCTCGAGCAGTTTATTAACACGTCACGAAACGCGCGTGCCAGAGAGATTTAGGAAAGTTTTTCCGGCAGAAAAGTCGATCGCGGTCAGTCTATCAGGCCGAGGGAAAGTTTTCTCGCAATTTTCTCACAACTCGGAGTAATTGGAAAACATCCGTGCGACATAATCGGAAGACATCCGTGTTACATTTCATTCATACTTTATTTATACTTACTGGCCATGAAATTAAAAACGAGATTTTTATGAGATCGTCATTCTTTGAACTGTTAAAACATTAAAAATTTAATTTTGTGATACGTACTGTGAAAATTGGCTTTAATAAGTGCTTTACAAAATGTTTTTTGTCTGCCTAATGACTCATTGTGTGAAACTACTTCACAAAGTGAATTCGAAATTGACTATCTTGTACTACTTGCTTTTATGTTTATTCGATTGTACGATGTATTCTGCTTATAAGGTTTAATATATTAATTAATTATACTAATTATACAATTATTAATTAAGTTTAGTATTGAAGATGACCCAAAAAAGAGTTGAATCGTTTATTCGATGTTTATCTAAATAATATGCGCAATTCACACACGATCAATCTGCGTTGTCTCGTAATTAGCATTATTCTTTGTTCACAATTAATTTCAATTAAGCCTACAATTCTTTATAATTTATAAAATTAAAGTTTACTTGTATTTCGATTTTCTAATAGCTTCAAAATATTATCAAAATTAATAGGAATGCGTTATTCTAAATCATCTCTCTTACATCATCCCAATTATTATCGCAATCGCATAAGAATAATCGTATAACGCATGAATTACTCGATATTAAAATTCGAATAATTCGAATAAATATTTCTTCAGTTGAATAACTGATGATGACAGGCAAGATAATTCGCTTCCGTATGATTGATTACGGAGAGAGAAGAGATTAATCCGCGCCGCAACCGCGATGTACCAACCTGGACCTTCGCCATCGTAGGTGAAATCCTTGATAAATAGCGTCCTTGCGTCGACAGCGTAAACCTCGCCGCTCACGCCATGTTGAAGTTCAGACAACTTACCGATCAGTTTTCCGTAATATGCTCCGCTGCATATTTCTGCCAAAAGGAAATTCATAATCACGATTACCATTAAGTAACTAGCATAAACGGTGGAATAATTATATACTACTCGGAATAAGAAATCGCACGAAACAGAATGCGATTTCATACTCTACCAATAATTTCCAATGTCTTATCAAGGCTCGTTGAATACATTCTAACGTTTGTTTTGCGTTCTGCATCCGGACGATTATTCAAATACAGTAAGTGATAAACTGCGGGGGATTAATTGTGTGCAACGAAATAAATAACAATTACGGTACAATAATGTTGCAACTGAATAATCGGTTGACCACTTATCGAGTTACGTGACATTATGCGCATCCGATTGCTGGGAAAAGAAAGACTACTTTTACCGTCTTGCGCATAAGGAAAAAAGTCACAGACAGCGTGATTTTATTCTGCTACATCTTTTGCTTTATAGAAATTTCTCGTTCGAAATTTATATTCTCTCGTGGGATTTTCTGAAAGCCCAACAAATAACGGTGGGTATTTTTAGAAAATTAGTTATACAGAGTCGCGAAGCAGTGAGAAATGACAAAGCGCGGAAGTATGCTTTAATACGATGAATTACTGGTCAATAGCCAGGCAAACTTCATCGGCCTTGATGTAACTCTCGGTTTTGCGCGTCTAATTCCCGACGTGGAAACGCATTCTTCTCGTACGGTAAAAAGATACGAATGTATATCCATACATGCATCATTCACATCGACATATAGTAGGTGCTTTCCATTTAGTGATACAAGTCGACACAAACATCATTTTATCCTTCTTGACATTCAGAGAGTAACAAAGATAGGAAAAAAAAAACACTTGCATCGACGTGTATTACTAAATGGAAAGTATCCATCAAGTATTGATCGAAGCGAGTGGCGAAATCTAGCTCTTTGATCTTTCAGCTTGACAAATCCGAAAAGAAACGTAATTATACGGAACTCTCTTTCTACTATTGTCCTATCGGTGGAATTTTGTTTTAGGAGAGAGTAAACAGAAATATAATAAATCTATCCATACACCGAGAAAAAAAATATATATCCTAAATTTCAATAAATATTTATTTGAATAATGCCAACTCTAAACATTTATTAAATATACAAATATATTTATTTCGTACAAAAAAACATTAATTTAATTTAACAATCGCTTCTTTTTATTAAGTAAATATTTATTTATTGTAAGTAAATGTTTAGTTGGCAGTATTCAAATAAATATTTATCTGAATTTAGGCTATTTTTATCTCACTGTATGTTTCATCTAGTACACTGTATGTCGATGGTGTATTCGCATGCCATTTAGCTACGTCTTATCATCTAGAAGACAGTCTTCTAGAAATCGTGGCAGAGATAGAACCGGTAACCGCGTATAATAATGCGCGTGTACATACACGAGTTTATTGGGTTCGTTAGAATGGTACATCCCATTTGTATGGCCGGGCCAGCTGATAGACTCGCTCCCAAGTACGGTACGACGGATAACGGTAACCGCGGTGTAACTTCTCGACTTCGCGAATAAATTGTCAAGAACGATTGATTGAGCCGCTCGGTGTAGATCGTTACCGCTCCCGTACGCAAAACTGGGTTCCGCAAAACGCATTCCGGCTCCTACGGAGCGAATCGTTTGTGGTCGTGTCGACGTGGTTCGCCCAGAACAGTCAACGATTAGCGTTTCTTGGAACTTCTTTCCCCAATTTGATATCTTTCTTACTTTCGAACCTCCAAGAAGTCATCTTGTAAGCAAGTGGCACGGAACGTTATGTATTTTCACATTCGTGTTGAAACGAATTCAAATAACTCGAGCTCGTTTTGAATCTCAGATTTTCTCAGGTCTTCATCTTCCAAAAATAAGCATCGTAACCGAAGATATATAAATCCGAGAAAATATTATACATAAAACAGAACAGCTCGCACGAAAAAAAAACAATTTTGCTAAAGTATTTAAAAATTTAACTAGAAATCTAAAAATAATGTTATTAGATCAAACAAAATAATTACGTTGGAATCTCAAGCAAGATGAGCTGCAAAAAGTTTTGACGTTCTATCAGTTTTGAGCGTCTTGCGTAATTATTTTAATAGTGACTTAAGCATTATGGACATGTGAGTTAATTATACTTGTATCATTCTTGCTGAGGAGGACTTCGAAAAGAGTCGAAATGTTCAAAATAAAGAAGAAATCAATCCAATGTCTGCTTATTAATTGTTCGCTAAATAATTGCGCCGTTTATCGTTGCTGGCTCTCATTAGCCTACTATATTTATCTTTTTGTATTGTTTAAAATTCAAGAGTCCTAATATAATTATTGTTATTATTTTAATAATCCAACAGAATAATTTTCAGATTTGTATGTAGCTAAACTTTTAGATATTTCATCAGCAAAATCATTCTTTCCGTGTATGGGATATACGAGAAAACACGGATACGAGGAGGTACTAAAGCCTGTTCTACAATGTGCTTTTTCTTTCTTGCCTTCTGTTATTTTTTACATCTTGTCTTTTTACTTCTTATTCGATTTTATATCGCCCGAGATAAAAATTAACGAACTTCGAAAGAAACAAGAAATACATATAGCAAAAAATACAATTGTTGATAAAACGCAAAGGAGAAAAAAAGGTAAAAAACAAGAAACAGAAAACAAAGAGCACATTGTAGAATAGGCTTAATAATGATACATCGAATGTCGTATGTATACTCGTATCGCACGTTTGTTCATGACAAGAAAGTAATTGCGTTTTTTTAAAAGGCATCTATCAGTAAAAACCGCAATTACTTTCTTACCAACCAATATAAATATTGTATATCTTGATGGAGTAAAGTTTCAGCTTTAAGAATCTCTTTTTTAAATTGCGATACGACAATTTTTAATGGAGTTATGAGCAATTGAAGTCAAAATGATACTTTTATTTAATCCGCGGTAACCAAAAATCGTAGAAATATTAAAAAAAAAAAAACGATTTTGTAGAGAAAGCATCAAGCTTTCACGATAGTCGAGAATTTGTTTTGGACGTTACAAACCCACAAAGTGAAAAGAAAATTATCCGTCTTTTTCAACTCGTAGTTTTTGGTACGTAAAAATTATCAAATTCATATAAACTTAAAAAAAAATGTGGTAAGCTTTTAAAAGTAGAGATTTCAAGCTTTAAAATCCTTTTTTCAATTTTAAATTTCATTCATTATTGACGAAGATATTGTATATACAACTTTGAGCTAAAAAAAACGCAATTACTTCCTTGCCAATCCAATAGATAAATGATGCGAAGTGAAGTCTGCGCGTTTCTATTGACAGATCGTAGGATCGAACACACCGGTTTACGTTACATTGACTCTATAGAGATATACCTCGTTAAATCGAACCCTTCGTTCGCCCCGGACACCGTTAGAATTCCTTAGTAGGAACTGGCCATCATCCATCCAGAAACGTCAGGACGGCGAAGATTGGCGTGGTGCGCGTATTACAATCAAGGTCGCGCGATTGCATACGTTTCCGCGAGGGATTCGACGAACACGGATTGCAGAATGTTACTAACATAGCAACAGCGCGTTCGAGATGTTAGGATTGATAGGACTCGAAGCGGGAATGTTGTATCGTTGCTTCGTTCCATCGTATCGTGAAACGGATGCCGCTCACCTGAAAGCTTCAGCACGCAACAGCGAAGTTCAATACGCTCTTTTAGAAACTCGATTCGATCTTAGCTTTGCTCGGTAGATTTATTGATTTCATGATCCATCACTGAATGACCAAATGAGTCTGCCTATCTTGCACTATTCTCTTATATTGTAATACAGATTAACGTTATTATATTGGTTTAACTTACTCTTATTTTTTTCTAATTCTTAGAACTGGATAAAACGTTAAACCGACATTAAAGTACGTTGTAGAAGCATAGAAAGACTGACATTTATCAGTTTGAAAAAAAAACAAATTATTACTAAAAGAAATTATAAGAGAAAGACAATGTTCAAGAACAATGCTCAGCATCTAATCAGGACATAACTCGCGTGATTGACAAATGTTCAGGAATTTAAATTTAGGACTAAAGAACGTTAAATTTTAAAGATAATGCGTCTAAAGTGGAAGCAATATACGAATAAATAATAATAACGCTGATTAATCAATCAATAAAACATTTAGTTCTTCTCTCATATGAAAAATAAAAGGAAACGAGAGAAATTCTAAAGTATGCTCATCACTTCCGCAAATCGCGCAAATTACAAGTTTACATCCCTACAAATTTCCTTCTGTCACGATAACCTTTGGCTATTTCCATATGCGGCAAATATGCAGAATTTAAAAATAAATAAAATGTTACAATTTATTTATTTTTATAATTCAGGTTTTGTTTGCACATAATATATTATCATGATGTTATTAATAATTTATTAATTCTTTAACGTCGAATTTCTAGGATATTGAATTTTAAGACTGTAATTATTCTTATTTATTATTATTTCGCATTTTGTGATTATTGCGCCTGTTTTTGAAATGTAGAAGGAAACAATGAATTTTTAAATAGACGTAATTTCCACTCTTTGCAATAATAAAGGAATAATACGACCGTAACGTTTAGGAACGAATGATGTAGCTTTCACAATCAGACAACGGTGTGACTCGAGTATTATTGTATCTCGACGAGATTATTCGCGTTGCGAACATTTTGGCGACTATTCGCAGACACTATTACGACATTGCTGACTCGGAACTTGTGTTATATACGGATGGCCAATTACGGTTATCCGGCTCCCACTTTCACCTCCTGGAAGCCTGGAAATGTCAGAAGGCCCGCCGAGACTCGCAGTGTTATCGCCCTTTCGTTTTCATCCGCCACTTCACGTTTAGATCTTCAAAGTTTTGGCATTCAGTTTTACGCAGATCTGAGATCCGTTCAGTTTATAAATCCCACGAACGTGTCTCATATTATTTACACGTGACACCCACGAATCGCTATGTATTTCTAGAATGCAGAAACTGATCGGAATTCTATAAGAATTCTGCGGGATTAATAAATTTCAACAGCAGGTTCTAGTGAGATCCAACTCGATTTTAATTTCTCATTTTTCGATTGCTAATAATCATTATTATCTTATTGGAATTCCCGCGTATCGTTCTGAAAATCATATACATATATATCAGCGTTAGAAAAAGATTATCTTCTGTCATATTAAATTTTAAATGCGATATTGTTTTGTAAATCTTAATATTATTTTCTATTTTTTTGTATTGTATTAATATTATTTATTTATTTTCTAACTTCTGTTTGAAAAAATCTAGCATTAAAATTCATAAGACACGCGAATCAAATTTTAAGATTTCTACGATGGGAATGTCAGTCTTGAAAAAAACTGAATTTCTCCGCGCAATTAATCACATTTTTTTTCTCTCCATTACGGAACACAAAGCCGGCGAACTGTTATACTAATATTGGTCTTTAGATCAAGCGATTATTAATTGCAAGTTAGCACCACATAATTTCTCTTTGCTTTCTAAAGTATACGCTAAAATGGGCGCGCAAAAACACGGAGCGTGAAGTCGTCCTGGGATGCGAAAAAGCCGCAAAATGACGGTAAGTAGAGTGGACAAGGAAACAGCCTGCGAAATCAGCGTGCGAGGATCCTGATTACTTCGAATAATTTCTTAGAAATGTTCTTTGGCGATAGTTAAAATTTTGTAAAATCAATCCATCAAAATACGTAGATTTTATGGAAGCTCAACGACGAGTAACGGTACATCATTCATTACGTAATTTTATATTTATGTTTTGTAACTTCAAGCACATTGGCGTGAAGATAATATCCCGACGACAACTTGTACGACAATCTGAGATCTTTAATCCCCTCACTTTTCGTCAAGGACATCGCTTAATGAACCACGGAATGAGAGTCGCAGAATCAAACGTAATATTTCAGTCTCCTTGTAATTGTTTCAAATCGCGGTCGACAAAAAGTTAAATTCTTTGAAATAAAATCTTATTTCAAAGTGTTGAAAAAGAGTGGCACAATTTTCAATCTTTTACAGTGAGATTTCACTGTTTAAAATGACAATTCATTCTCAAAATTTTAGAGAATATATAATTTGGATTCGTGAGAAATTTAATAAATACATAAATCCAATAAACTTTTAATAAAAACTTCCCAGACAGTAAAAAGTGTCTATAAGATATCACAATCTTAGACTTTGTGTTGTTTGGTTACTATTACTTTCAATTGACTTACTAAAACGTTCGTCAATAAAAATATAATATAAACAATTCGCAACAATCGCGAGATCTTTTCATCTAAACTTATCTCGTCCGCGAGATTTGCGCGAATCCGCGATTTCACTAAATATGTATATTTATCAATCAAATCGGAGCTCAATGAACATTCGCGTGTCGCTAAATCGGGTTATCAAATGTCGAAAGAGAACGTTTTTCGTTTTTTTTTTTTTTTTCGAAATCAATTAAATCAATCGAAATTTAATGATTAACTCGAGAAAGGATCACTTACGTGCCACCGTGACAAGGAAGAGCACAGTGATTAGGCCGACAGTCGACGGTCGTCGCGTCGGGGACGATGCGAGTGATCGTGTCGTCATGGTGTCTTGGTGGTTACTGTCGAGAAAAGTATCTGTTGTCGATCCAGGTAACTTTGTTGGTCCCACTACGCGATCACCGGCTCGCCTTGCTTCACCATTCCCGTTCCTTTCTCTCTGTCTTTCTCTCATGGGAAAGACTTTTCAGCTTTTCGCGAGCCCAGGTAAAAGTCCCATCGCCGTCTCATGATTGCCATCCCATCGTCCGACGAAAACTTGACAATCATTTCTCAAGGAACGCACCAAGTTGAGAGAAAGTCAAAATAACGCTATTTTGACATCATGAAAGTTAAAATGATTTTTGATCGAAAAATTTTTCTGTTCATCGATGTCAATTTGATTTTCTTGCTGACTTTTTGCGTACTCCTTGGATTTTGTTCGCCTCAAATACACGAGAATCGTCATAGAAATATAATATACCCGTATCCGTGAGATTATGAAAGGAAGATTACATTCTCTCGCGGATATTATCACGGACTGGCGCGCGGCGGTGAGAATCCGCGCGAGAGGAATGCACGCGTACACGCTCCGGATTTCCAGGCATTGCGTCGAAATTACTGCTGTCATTAGGCGACAAATTTGACTGCATCACGTGTAATTACAATGCAGTCATCATGAAGACGTACGCGTTACCCCATCGTTTGCGAGGACGCTTGCCTGAGCACAGCGATAATATTTCCCGAGTGAACGCATCGCGTTTGAAGCAGCTTTTATCGCTCGAGCATGTTGCAACGCGACGGATTGATTTTTTTTTTTTAAAAGATACCGTCGCACGTTGATAACGTTCTCTCGTCGACATCGTCGTCGAGCAGAAGTCTAGTCGGTGGATAATCAGTTGCAAGTGGATCCTGTCGACGTCGAGAGGTCTTTGACGACTATAACGAGTTCTGAATCGCGTATAATAACGCGGGTCCTCGACGATGTAACGCGGTTACCATCAAGCCGAGACATTCGTTTTGCAATACCGCGCAATGAGGCGCGATTTCATCATTGAAAATGAAGACTTTCCCGCAAGGATGATCTAACCCCTGTCTTTATTTTTTTTTATTATTTTTTTTTTTAATGAAAAAGAACGAAATTTATATTGAAAGTATAAAAAAATATGACAATCATATATGTATTTCTTCTATATATGTGACGATATTTCATATTTCTTTTGTCTCTTCTAAAAGCTATTCCCCGATATTCATAGTTGGTTTATATATTTATATTAAGATTGGTCTAAATATAATAAGATGTCATGATCAATCAGAGAGTCGTATTAGCATCTTAAGATATTACTTAAGACAATCTTAAAATAAGAACGAACTATGAATACACCCTACAGGTTTTTAAGATCTTAAGTAATATTTTAAGATACTAATACAGTCTCTGGCGAAAATAAAAAATCTGAGCATAAGTCAAATATAAGAGAAAAGTAACAAAAGAGTAAACAAAGCTTCTAAACAAAGCTTCCGATAGTCGATTCTTGTATGAAGATTGTTTTAAGAACAGTCTTAAGATTGTTATAAATCAATCACAGAGCAGTACAGAGAAAGAACCATACTAGTATCCTAAATATTATTTAAGATAAAAATATCAAAAATAAAAACGAACTGAGTTCTAGAAAGCGAAAATTGAGACAACGAAATATAAAAAAAAAGAGTAAACGTCTCTTCCCCCATGTCTTGTTGTCTCAATTTTTTTTTTAAAGCTTTACGTTTCTGTCATTCTTACATTCGACTTACGCTCCGATTTTTATTTTTTGTCAGGGACTCTGTGATTGATTTGTGATATTTTAAGACGGAAAACGGTCTTAAATACAAGAACCAACTATAAATACCGGCCTTAGTGAATACGTTGAAATACTCGTAGCTTTACATTATGTGATGTTCACATACGAATATGGATGAGTTTTTTTTTAGTTTTGTAGATTGGATCTTGTTGCTACAAGCGTATCTTCATCTTTAGATCTTCTTCAGCGAGGCGAGGCACTCACAGGAAATTTGTCGGATTTCGCGGCGAGAAGCCGCTTTCCGTTGTTTCATGGGTGGACTGGCATGCGGGCTGATCGCGTTTGTGCAGAAATCAAGAAGAGGTTTCGATCCAACCTGAAAATCATCCCGCTCATCTTCGCCTCGTCTCGCTTCTCGCCTCTCGCATCTCACCTCATTACTCTGCGACGGTATGAGGGGGCGGGAGAGAAAGAGAAAAAACAGAAAGGCGGTACGGAGGAATAATTTTGTTACGTGTCCTATAAGACGGAGATCATCGTGCGCGATGCCGCGCATTCTAAAACCGGAAGCGTTAGCGATCTGCGACCGGTAGCGTATTTGCGCGAGGCCGAAGGTTTTCTTTCCTCTCTTCAGCTTTTTTCTTTTTTTCATCCTGTTGAAAGTCGACACGTATGACAAGAGTGACAGACCTCCGACGCACCGAAGGAAACCGCGGGAGACGCTTGAATCTGCGTATATCCGAGAATACGACCTGCGTTGCGAACGAGCGAAAGTCCTCTCTTCCTTCCTCGCAGGTACACGTTCGGTGGTCATTCTTACAATTAGTCTCGCACGCACTTTCGCATCGTGGATACACGACATACGCATGTGTAATGATATACGATGTGCGCTGTAATGATTCATGTAACGTCCGCACGCGACGTCATCCAGAATTAACGAGAGTATTTCTGTAATTAGTTCACCGATACGTCTCTCTTAATTGAAATGCAGTAAAGCATATCCTCATTAGTAGAAATGGGACAAAGCTGGATAAGTATCTTTTAAATGTATCCGTGAATCTCCATTCAATATCGTTGGATACCATTCCGTTGAAATCGAATGATACATATGAAACAATAATAAACGATTTATTAAAGTCATGAGAATACGTAATTGTTGAAATATTCACAATTGTATGTGTTATGAGATCAAATATATGATCACAAATCGATGGAATGCATAAATACTGATAACAATATCGAGATATAAATTAAATATACTTGGATCTATATAAATACTGAAAAAAAAGATGTAATAATTGGGCTCGAAATTATACTGAATACACAGGGTAAGTCATGCAATTTACCATCTTTTATAATTGATGATGAAAAATAGAGGAAAATTTCAAACAAAAACAATTCAATTAACTTAATGATGTCTGACTTTCTAACTCTAAAGTTCTCATTTTATACAATAAAGCAGCTGCTAAGCATTTTTTTTTTTTTAATAAAATTATTAATGATCATAAAAGTAATAAAAAATAATACAATATTATATCATTCATAAAAATGTTGAGCTAAAATAACGGGAAACTATATAAAATTGTTTCAGATATTTTAGATTTTAAAAAATACCGTACTGAAAAAAATCACATCACAAAGTTATACAACGCGCGAAATCATGTAATTAAATATAAATCACGTAACGAATTGTTCCAAATCAGTACGTAATTTTATAAAATTACATAAAAAGTTATTTCTAATATCATGTAATTTTTCTAATTACGTGATTTTAAAAAATCACGTACTAGTTTGGAACAATCAGTTATGTGATTTACTTGATTTCGTTATGTAACTTCGTGATGTGATTTTTTTCAAAAGGGTATTTACAAGAAAAAAAATTATAAAATAAATAAAAAATGTAGGAACTATGTACTATGGTAAAAATTGTTTTGACTTAAAAAAATAACATGCAAAATATAGAAAAAAGTGTACAGTTTATGTTTATTGAAGCGTTTATAAAAATGTTTCTGTTGTAATTGTACGCACGAGACTGTTATGTTTCCATTGTAGTACTTTTATAAGTATTCTTACATCTAGGTTCGATTGCAGCGCAGAAAGTTTCAATTACATTTAAATGCTGTTATGTTTCTCAGTGCTGATAAAAAATTCGAACGTGCTGTAGATATTATCAGTACTACGTAGAATGTACTTGATCTCATCCTTATTCATAAGAAGATGATGTCACTTTTTACTGTTACCTGCATCTCATAAACATGTGAACGTGTAATAAACAATACATTTCTTATTAATAATTTATAACATATTACCTTTCACCTAAGATATATATTATATAATTCTATTAGATATATTATTATTGTAATTTACTGTTGTTATCACTATTAAGTGACTATTAACATTCCATTTAAAGCTACTAAAATCATTATTATTCTAAAAACATTTTACAAAACGTTAAAAAAATATTTTGTCCGAAATATCTATAATTTTCAAGACCAATCAAACTTATCTGAGAGATCAGAATTTGTTTGGATGACTATTCGCTCGCATAATGAGTTGAGAATAGTGAAAGTTTTGTCGCATAAACAAATCTGGATGCTGAATCATGATTACTGATCGATGAATAGTAGTCTATCTTAATACCTTTACGGATCAAGTTCTATTTATTGTCTCTTATTTGTTTTAGCCTTGTAGAGGTGTAATCAACCACAAAACCATCATCAATTTCATGGATGTTTGATATAATAAGTTTAAAGTGAAAATATACGTTTTTCCTTGTATAAAAGATTCCTTATATACTTATATTTTGTTCCTCGATATTTTATTTCTCGTCATATATTCATAGGTATTCCAGTGCGATCAAAATAATTCGCGTATTATCTGCTTATTTATAAGATCCTTTTTTATATAGAAATCGCAGATCACGTGATGTACATACATATGTATACGCACACTTTAGAAAGTGGCCGATGCGATAAAAAATGATGACAGGTGACATATTGTCTTATTTATCGAGCATCTAGGAGGATATAAAAATGTTATATTGATGTATTTGTACGACAAATATGCGACAAATATGCAACAATTAATTAACATTAACAACATGCGGCTAATATAATTAGCGTTGCGAAACGCAAGGAAATTGGGCGAGCGAAGGAATGGGTGTAAACGGAGAAGAGAAATTGCACCGTAAAGCTGCTGTTATTAACACCGAAATAACTAACAAGATTTAATGACTATTTAGAAAGAATAATTGACTGCTTTACGAGAGCAACAGTTAATTCTCGGACAATGAA